TGATGCAACATCCATAAGATAAATGGCCATTCTTCTTGTTGTGATTGTAAGGTCAGAACATATTTTAAAAAGTCATAATTCTAGGGACTGGAGCAAACGATGGCACACTCTTTGAGATGGTTACCAGAAACACAAATAACTCTAAAGCTTCATGAGTTTCCATCCAAAGGTTCAGGAGATGTGCTTAGTGATGAAATGGATTCCCATTAAAGCGTGATAGTAATAAGAAGCAAGACAGGTTCTATTAAAATAACAGTTTGCTACTGCAGTGAATTTGTCAGTTTACCGGACTCACAACCATTCGATTTCAGGTGTGAAGGGTTGCCCGACCAGACCGTGTTGGCTTTGTTTGTGTGTCTCTGTGCAAAGGACATTATTTCACCGCCATGCCATTAATAGTCTTTCATGTGCGTATATACCTTAAACAACTAAAAAAGCAGAAAATAATAAAGAATTTGACCTTATCAATGCTAAATGTTCAAACAAGTTCTACTTTCTCGACCTCAATCGATCCCGGGAATATTCTATAAAAAGCATGAAATGTTTCCTTAAAGCCGACATTTGAAGCAGCTTTCAATGGCACTAAACTTATTTTAAACATTTTTTTATTTAATTAATTTGCAATTGGAGACTACAAGATATACAATATATAAAGCAAAGGATTGGAACTGAATCCAAAAGCTCTTCGTGTTCGTCTCCTTTCAAGACACAAATATATTGTGGATGATGTTAGGTTTTAATGACAGAAAGTAGTTATTTCGGAGTCGAAGTAAATAGTTAAACATCAGCATTTAATATATAAAGTAAAAGGATGAACGACGAGTGAGTGGGTGAAAGAAGAGGATGAAGAAAAAAAGAATTTAAAATGAGAAGAATGTTGAAAAATAGTATACCAGTATTTTGTTGCAACCTATCTAAATCCACATTAATAAAGCACATCTTCAAATTTTTGGAGGTATATATTCGTGTGTATACATATATGAAGTAAAAATATGTTGTAAGATACAGTTAGAGAAATGAGATATCAGGATGTCTTCTGTGAAGTCGCCTACGTTATATATAAGAGGACAGTAATGGTTATCTATGAGACGATTTTGAATTTGAATTTTATTTAATGTTGGGTAACAATTAAATATGCAGCTTATTTGCTTTATTTGATAATTCTCAATGTAGCCTACACACCACAATATCTACAGTAATATTCTGGTATGGGACCGCACCGTCGGCCTAGTGGTTAGATTGTCCTCCTAAGATTTGGGAGGTCGTGGATTCAATCCTCGGCTGAATCATACCAAAAACGTATAAAAATGATACTAACAGCTGCCTCGCTTGGCGCTCAGCATTAAGGGCTTAGTGCTAGAACGGGTAGGCCTTGTGTCAGGATAATGTGACTGGGTGGGACATCATGCTACTTGTCTGCAGCATGATGCCCGAGTGCTAGACATCACTATAAACTGCCACATTACATAATATCGTAGCGATATGACTGAAATATTATTAAAGCTGAAATAAAAGTCCAAATCTCTCACACACACACACACACACACACACACACACACACACACACACATGCTAAACTATCATTTCTTGATGCCAGCTGCAGTATTTTTAGTATATGCCCGTCGTCTAAAATGCTTTAAGAAGACAATGTTAGAAATTTATCCTTCTTCCTTAGATCATTTAAAACAGAACATCGCTAATTTTTTTCGTACTATTTTTTTCTGTAAAATTCATCATCCTCCTTCCTGACACTATCATTGTGAATCATTATTATTGCCATCGTCTTGAGTAATAATTTAGCTGATGATTTTTTTATTGTTCGTAAGTCATATCGATCGTTTACTGAGATTGCCGAATATGTTGCTTGTTTGCATTTAAAAGTTGATTTTTTTTAGTCTAATTAAACATTTTTATGGTGTGCATAATAACAAATGCATTTCTCTAACTATATTATTATCACACTTTTGTAAAATATATGTGGTCAGTGACCTTTTAAACCATACAGGGTTATTTTGTTTACTTTTCAACTTTAAAAAAATTAACTATGCTTAGATCCACTAGTAATTATTTTTTTGTTTGTTTGTTATAGTGGCTTATTTTTGTAAGATCCTGTATGCTATTAAGTGGGCATTTGAGCACAAACTGAATAAGACTAGAGTGGTCAGCATTATAACTTCTTCAACATCTGTCTTAGTAGCTGGACCTACTGTAAACTTCAAAATCATCTTTAGAAGAATTATCTAATTGTTAAGAGCTAGTGTTTATGTAGCTTTATAATTATTTTGCTTGTTCCAATTGTCATTTGTTACAGTGACATTTTGCAACATTTGATTTAACTCTTATCATGCTGCAGTGCTATTATTTGAATTAAACAATCGCTGTCTAGCTCTGATATCCTTTCATTTGTTAAATGACAACACGATATTTACTAACCAGCTGTTGCCATCCATATTGTCCAGTTTAGTTACTTTTGTCAACACCTCATGTCGCAATGTATTATATATGCAAGATAATATAATATATCTCTCTTATGTAAAACTAATTTGAATACTACATATATTGTCTGTCTTAATATAAATTTAGGTCCAAGTATTTGATACAGTAAACCATTGCAATAATTATCTTCGTTGTAGTATTGTTCATATACATTGTTTTGCTCATTTTATTACGATTATCTATGTAGTCCTAAGTTTACAATTACAAAACAGTTTACCTGAAACTCGGATCTGATAAGGTCATCTTTGTAATAAAAAGGGTAGTCTTATTTCGTGACTGTTGAGAGTATTGTCATCACAATATACCTAATATCATTTCATTGGAAAGTTAATGCCGGAATTGGATTTCATCTCACATTATTCTTATCTCCGATGTTTTAAGTTTTAATCAGTATTAGTGAGGCATACTCAGATTACTGTGCATCTATTGATTACAAAAAACTGAGATGTCTAACTAACAGTTGTATTAAACGATAATGTTTCAAAAATCAACAAATTTGAGCATGTTTATTGCAATTACAGGTTTTTTTTACCCGGTGATACACATTACAGTCTTTAGTCTTTGTTATACAATACTTCCTGACTCTTAATAGATTCTTCTCGTCTTCTACAAACCACTAACAATAGTATCGATGCAATAAGTATATTTTTTACATTATAATATTTATTAGTAATCTTTGCAAAAAATATCACTGAATGAGATTTGAATTCTTTCATTACTGAGTGCCGCTAATTTAAAACTGATAAATCAAAGGAGATGAGTATGGGTACAATATTACTTAAAGACGGTATTATTTATAAAGTGATATTCTAAAATAAAGTGAGATTCAAGGAACAAACATAGAAAGCAGGAATGCCAATGCTTACAATTAAAACCAAATGAGAAGAGTTCCAACGCTGAACTCGATCAATGAGAGGATCACTTATCTGGTGTTACCCACATCTTTATAATTACAGCTATCTCTAAATAACGACTGCTGCTGATGTCGAGGTTTAGATTGTCCCATTATATTGGCCAATTATGAACTTATGAGTCCTGGGTGGTTTTTGGTTCCTTTTACATGCATTATTTCATATTTTTGCTTTCTGAAATCTGATGTCCTTGTTTTATCTTGATGACATGAATTATTATTTTTTTTTTTTAAAAAAAGGTTATGGATTATCTGGAGAAACATAATTCGTACAATGACGTTATTACGCAAAATGACGTCAACTTATTATAGTTACAAAAATATATTGGATTTGATTTGGAGCGATCCAAATTAAAATCTCAATTCCAAATTGTACCAAGTAGAGAAACAAATCATTTTTAATTGAACTGACTGATTTTCTTGAGATATAATAGACTGACTGTGCCTCATATAAATCATGTTAAACGAATAATGTACTATGTGTTAGGACTATATTTTAATTTAAATATATGTATACTTTCCTACGAAATGATTATAGGTCTCAATTTGTATTAGATTTGATTCACAATGAACACTCCGAAACCTATATCTTTGAATTTGAACACTGTTCCTCAACTTATTGAAAGACTTTATAAAACTGAGATAAACATGTTGTTAAGATCCGATCCAAGTCATTTTCAAGATTGATAAGTTTGTTGGCTCTCAAAAGCAATGTCAGAAGAAAAAAAAAGCAATCAGCCATGAATACTCTGCCCGTAAAAGGTTAATTTGATTTGAAAGATTACAACAGCCGCAATAAAATGCATTATTATAATACATTGGCTTTTATAATATAATCTCCATTTACATTTATTTCATGCATCCATTCACGGTGAAAGATTCACTGTAAACCATAATTGATTCATGTTTTCTCTAAGTTTAATAATTTGCTGTATTGTTATTAATCTTTCTCACTTCTGTTAAAATCGCGAAATATAAAAATAATTTTCGTGCATATCCATATATTATACATATGAATGAATGTTTCTAGGATCAGACCGTTGTAATGGTCACTGTCAAATGCACACGCGGCACAGTTTAAGCATGTAGTGATAGGATCAGAGCCTTGTTATAGCCACTGTCAAATCCACACATGTTACAGTTTAATTATGACGTGGCAATGCCAATAACACATTCTTTATTACAACCTGGCTGCAATTCTCAAAATATGAAGTACAAATATTAGTCTCTCACTTTTCATCCATATACATCAGCCTCGAATTATGTTTTTAAACAGCAATAGCAATTTAATTCAGATTGACAGCAATATCACAGTCAATATTCCATTGGAACACAAACTAGTTCCAACTTAAATACAAGGATAATGTGTGTATGGGGTTTTTTTTGTTGAATTGTTAACGTTGCTTTGAAAAGCTATGTTCATATCTCTACTATATCTGAAATGTTGCAATTATTATGATGTCTAGCACTATGTCATCATGCAGCAAACATATAGGATCATGTCCCACCCAGTCATATCCTGACACCAGACTGACCAGTCCTAACACTCAGCTCTTAATGCTGAGCTGCTGCTACCATTTTTATGTATTTGATATGACTCATGCGGGTTTCGAATTCACGACCTCCCATACCCTAGGCGGACGCTTTAACCACTTAGGCCAACGTAGCCGTCATATATAATGCTATTACTGGAAACAAGTGATATACATTACGATAAATGTAGCACAAATTAATATCTCGTAAACTTGTTACTTTACAATGATAAACCAATGGTGCTAAAACCACTCAATATAATCATATCAATTCTTCTGAACACATGCATATAATTGTGATATTCTCTATGTCATTGATAGGAATTGAAAAGAAAATCAACTGCAAATCAGTTTCAATGAATGACATGCAAGCGATTTCGGTAATTTTTATTTGCTAAGGTGTCAAATATACAGTACTCATAAAAGTCATGTCTTGTAATTGTTGAGTGAAAGCATTTTCAGTATGAAAATTATAGTAGTTTTATCTAATAATTTTCAACTTATAATATTTGAATTAAACTATGCTTCTATTGGCTTGTTTCAATATTTTTCATAAGATTTTACAATAATTTTCAAAATAACTGCATAACAAATGTTAAAACACAATAAATTAAACTATTTAATGACTATATGATGTTAAATTATCTACCAAATTAAACTAATACAACAGAAAAATAGATATCATTAGTCAGTCAATTATTAAACCTTCGCCAGATTATGAATGCATGTAAGGACAGCTCAATGTTTTGCTATTTTAATTCCTTTACTGTTGATTATTGTCTTATATTTGAAGCTGAGAGTATTCACTGAGTTGTTTCTATGTTATGTCACAACGATCTCCGAAGCGCACTACCAGATCATTGTTAATATAAGTTGCAATAACCATTTTTATATTTTTACATTAAACATGTATGATTGTTTTCTAAGATTGGGGCTATAACAGAATAATTAATTATAGGCCATGCACTTACTAATTATACACAGGTTTTAATCATCAAATCCGATTACAGAACATAAAGCATGTCATTACCAGCTGTGAAAATAATTGCATTAAAAGTTAAAGCACTATTATATACCGTCATAAATAATTTAAATTACAGCATCAAAGGCTATCTTGTTTCTTGTTATGTAATATTTTGTCTCTGATTATCTATCATCTTATACAGTCTGATAATAATTTAAAAGTTTTGTTAATGGAGACTGAGATAATTTCAGTATTTTTTGTTGTTGTTATTTTGTCATGAAACTAAGCTTCTGTATCCATTAGTGTCATACTTGGTCAGTTATGATCATTCTGAAGCACATTTCCCCCCCCCCATAAGACGGATCGATAGATTTTGTACAGTAATGGTTTCTTTGTTGAACGTAGAAATGCGTTTGATAAGGACCGTCTTTAAAATAGTTATTCGTACCGTGTACTTAAGTTAGCAAGTGTAGCATTTTTATTAAAAATCCCGTTGTAGAGACTACATTAAAATGAGCTTTAGAAATGTCTCTTTATTCAACTCTTAGTTTGACAGAGTACCTAATGCCAGCAATCAAAGGTATCAATTAACACAGGGATGTGATATAATGTATATTCAAACACATTACTCTCAATTCAAACATTTACCCAATATTGTGTTCAATAGCGTCCCTCGTAATCAAAGCCTATTTCAGCCGCGTTTGTCTACTGAATATTTGCAAACTTTTGTCGTGGGACAACGGACAGCAAATTGATATGAAGACAGAGACCTAGATGATCAAACGTTAAAAACATACCTCATTTCTTTGTTGTCCGAACTACAAGAATTGCATCCATTTGTTCATACAATACAGAGCTGTTTCATTTAGTTACTAAGTTAGTTTCATTGGCAGTAACTATTTTCTCCTTTTTATAACACTGAAAATGAAGTCCTATCCGCGAACTAGGACCATAAGGCTTTCGCAAAGTGATAATATTTAAGACACAAAAGTATCGATTAAAGTTAGATATATGTAAAAACAAACATTTTTTATATCAAAACTTACAGTCAGAGCTGAACTCATTAATTACAAAGAAATAATTATTTGTCTAAGTTAATTAGAACAATATTACTTACAAAAAATGATTATATTTGTTTATAATCGAAGTCTTATGGGTCATTTTTTTAAATAAAACTTTTAAAATTCTCTTTTAGTCCGGAGCAATAATTGTTTGTTCTATATTGCATTTTTCGAAGTCGTAAAAGCCAAATGTCTTCATTTATTTTTCGCAGCTACAGGGCTGTTTGATAACACCAAAAAGTCAGTATACAGGATATACACATTAAAACTAAAAATCTAACAAATGCATTATTAACAGAACAAGATGTTCTTGATGTAAACGACACTTTACCCACCTAAACAAAACGTGCAGTGTAGATTAAAAATGTCTCAATATGCTCAAAGGAACAGATCTATCCTTTGTTGATCCACTCTGTATCCTATTAAACCTCTTGTTTATAAAACATTTTCTTCATCTTCATGGTAACCGCAAAAGTAATGCCATTGAATGAAAAAGATGTGCCTGCGATCTTTCAAATTGCACACCAATTTCACTAATTAGTTGAGTTGGGAATGTTAGGAAAGAATAGTTTGTAAACATCTCTGCATCATCTACACATAATCTTATATTTAAGAAAAATAACGATCCTGATTTCTTCCCAACAATTCTGCATTATTTTACCCCATAGTTCTATACTATAGTCAAAAGAAAAATTTCAACATTTTTTGTTCATTTATTCATCATCGACAACATTCCTACTAAAGTAACTTGTCAGAATGGAGTAATTAATAATGAAACAGAAACAAATGTAATTTATGCATTACACCCAGCATGACATGTGAGTTTTTTATGATGTCTCTAAGGCATTTCATCATATTTGGCATAATGGACTAATATACATATTAAAGTGTAATAGGATTGGTAGCTCTCTTATTATTTTTTTCTGACAACCTGTCTAAAAGAATCAAATCAGTTGTATAAATATTACTGAATCAATTATGTTGTGTCTGGCGTACCAAGTTGTGCATATTAACGATATTGGCGACGCTCTCTTGAAAGCGGCAAGATTTTTTTTCGAATGATACTAACGAAATTTAATATGTACTTATGTACGATTGGTCAAGGCAGTGGTGGTTAACTTCAATCCAGTATGTACTATGCTAATGTAATTTCCACGTATGTTAGAGCAGTCTTGAACTAAATTTTAAACAAAAATTCTCTCGTTTGTTGACTTCCATAAACACTTTGGCTTAAGTTTTAGTAGGCTAGACAACTAGTTCGAACACATTATAACATATTTATGTCGACCTAAAAGTTATAACTGTCTTGAAAATACTTAAATATAAATTTAGCCGATGACAGTTATAAAAGAAATATTTTGCAAACGTTAGCCTCAAGCTGGGATGAGCTGACCTTCCACGGGATGGTTATTCAGCTGTAGGTTCTTTCAAATTAGGAAAAAACCTACAATTAGAAGAAGGGCAAATTCTGACTGGTGTTACTAGAAATGCATCATGTCGTAACACTGATTAAGAAACTTGTAGGCCTATATTGGCAGATAGACGAAAATTTCGTCCAATCCGTTACTTTCTTAAATTTGCATCTTGCCTTGCTGGACTTCTACAACCTCTGACTGATGCGACAAGTAGGTGCACTTTTAAAAATAAAAATAATACAAAACTATAAATAAGTAGAAACCCATTTTTACACTTCGCTATATTCGTACTGTCTAGAATTCACTCCCAGATTCAGTAAAAACAGACGGAAACTAGTCTATTATCAGTAGTAAAATGGAGGCTAAAGCAACATTTTGCAGTTGGAAAGAGGAAAGTTATCGATGATTTACATAATGCCCTATATTCCTACCATTTTAGAGATAAACCATTGTTTGCATGGTGTGACGATACAGAAAATGCATGTCATAACATCGATTGGTTCAAAATCATATTTTCATAATAGTGACTAAAATATTTTGTTATATGGATCGTCTGACGTTTTGATAATGTTAATATTCATTTCTAAAGTCTGAATTCAGTTCCAGTAAATTAATGCCATATTTGGAAAAAGGACCAGACGTGTTTTATTATCAGCTATTGATTGTCTTGTGTATTCATTTCGCATTTTGTACACTTGCTCAATTTCTACCACTCTCATAGAATAATTAATTTATTCATCTCTGTCTGTTTCTTTCTTTCTCTTATACATATTTTGCAGTTATCATATATGCTTAAATATTATAGAATAGAACCATATTAATTTAGTGCAGCTAACCATGTAAATTACTTATTAGCTGTAGTGGAAGGGCTTATTCTACATAATAAGAACTTTTAGCCCGCCCCGATTGGTCAACATTTGACAATAACATAAGTTGAATTGAAGTCTTTAAACTTGTATATAGGATGTTATTATCAAAAATGTTAAATTAATTTACCATGCCAGAATCTAAAGTCTATTATATCAAACACCACTGGGATAGCTCAGGTTTTAACTGTAATTTATTCTTCTTTTTTCTTTTTTTTTTTTTGAGATATGTAATATTGCTTTTGAAGTTATGACGTCATCATAGACAAGTTATACAAGTTTGATAGAAGTTCGTAATTATAGTGATTCCTGCACAAAACCAAATGTTAGCTTAATTACAAAAAGAAGGTATGTTGGAGAGATAAAAGCCATTGTATTTGCTTGTTTATAAAACACGCGCCCAACTGCAACTAGCATATGATAGGCTATGCGGGTCAGCCAGTATATTTGGCCGAGGAACAAACCGATGAAAACCACTGACCGACTGTGTGTGTGCGTGTGTGTGTGTGTGTTTGATTTGGACTTTTAACGGATCTTTAACACTGTTTCGGTCATATAGTTACAGTGTCTACAGAGTAGCAGTTTAAAGTGATGTTCTGCACTTTTAATCATGTCTCAGACATATACCATCATGTTCCAGCAAGTCACATTATCCTGACACCTGGTCGATCAGTCCTAACACTGAACTCATAATGCTGAGTGCCACACATATACCATCATGTTCCAGCAAGTCACATTATCCTGACACCAGGTTGACCAGTCCTAACACTGAACTCCTAATGCTGAGTGCCAGACATACACCATCATGTTCCAGCAAGTCACATTATCCTG